ATAATATGGTAGTTTTAATGATTGAATAAATCCAAAGTAAAATACTATACTACCTGGTATGACTGCGTGCAACATTTAATACAAAAAGCTGCCATTTACTTTGAAAACTGTGTTTTATCTCCTGTAGGCACATTTCATTTGATCATATCTAAAAAATAAAAAATAACACAACATAAAATCACTTGTCCAGACAGAGTAGAAAGAAATTTTTTTCTTTTGTACATTAATTAGTTGATTGCATGCTAAAACTGTGTGGAAAAATACAATAAATTAGCAATGTCTTTTTATGAGGTGCTGTAAGTCTGACCAGCATCTTAATTGCCACAAGAGGGCGCAAACCATCGACTCATCTTATAAAGAGGGTCATTCTGCAGAAATGAAACAATAGATGGATGCTAACTTACCAGAGTCATCACCCCCATGCGCTCCATGTCGCGGGCGGGGCTCCGAGGGTCCAGTTTAGGGGTGGAGTGGCCGCTGGGTGGAGAAGACGAGGCCAACGAGGAGGCGGTGGCRGAGGCGGTCATGGAGGCACCGTGGTGGTGCATACGAGCCAGGTTGAGACCCTCCAGGCTAACGCTGGCCACCCGGTTCTCAATTTCCTCTGCTCGCAGCTCCGTGGACTCCTTCTCTTCCTGTATTAACCTGGAGAGAAGAGTTTTATCAGCTCCTTCTTGTTACTGTAAACGTGGCAGGTCAAGATGAGATGGATTTCTACCCATTTGTTGAGCTAAATGCCGTAAATTCCTAAAGTGTGAGGCAAACTAAATGTTAAAAACTCCAATAATCCATTACTACATCCAAGATCTAATTGTGCAAATGTGTGGAAGCTCCACTCCCAGGACTCCTGATCACTACAAGGAGTCAGATTTTAATATGTGTTTGTGAAAAGAAATGCAGCTCTGTTTTTATTGGAGGTGATGCAAATTAGCCAAGAGACGAAGGCGCATCGACAGTCCTTGAAGTAAAGCGAAGCTGCCCCTGGGGTTATGAATACTTWGCAGCACATGATAATTGCAGCTGGAAGAAGCAAGAGGGAGCTTGCTCTTAGCAAAACAGAGGATATGAAACAAAAGTGTTTGGATCACAGGCGGAAAATGAGCTACAGACAACAAATTTCTTCATATGATCGCGAAAAAGGTTCTTGAGAAGAGCAGAAAAGGATGAGAATAAATTAGTGTGTAAAATGTAAAATAATATTTTATCCATTTTTGGTGGTACTAGCAGAAGAACAAGAAATATCTTACTTAATCCTTAAAATATATTGTTTTAAACTGTGTCGAAACAAAAAAAATAAAACCTCTATCAGCCATAACAAGGTTTTTGGTACCGAATCTCCTTGTTGATGGCGTCCAGCTGCTCCTGCAGCATCATGGCCAGAGTTTGTGCATCGGAGTGGCCGCTGGGGGAGAGCAGGTCCATGGAGCTGAACAAGGTTTCCCTGTCGTCGTCGTCGATGTCAGACATCTCCGTGTCGCTCTCAAAYTGGTGACCTCCCAGGACCCCGAGCTGCTGAGAGCGCCACTCTTGCTCCCCCAGAGATTTCGCCTGCATCAAGAAAACAAAACAACTTTGAGATGGTTTAATTCAAACAATTAATAGAGCACTCCTTGTGCAACAGTGTTTTCTTGCACTCTAACTAGTCTGTCGTTTAATGCAGTAGTTTAGTGTTTATTTTATGGAGGGTTTACACACATCAGGTCAATGTCCAGTTAATACTGACAACACACCAAAAATAGATTCATWCATTTAAAAAAGGTAGACATGTTTGGAAAACTACWCYTTCAGTTTAAAAACAGATCTAAATGGTTATTTTAGCACACCTCCAAGAGGAACATTATCTGCTGCACCACTGATATGTTTGTCTGTTCATACAACATGTGAAATCCAACACAATAAGTGTCTAAAATAAATGTTTTCTGGTTAAAGCTTGCCAGGGCTCCTCTATGTCTTTAAAAAGAAACTGAATCTGAGGTCATCAATAATCACTTCCTCCATCTTCTACCATTTAGAGATGATGATACACAATCACAATCCCTCCAGTGATTTCTGGCTCTGCCCCCTCTACCCAAAGAAAACATCTGAAGTGGGGTGTCCTGGAGGCATACTAATCAGATGCCTGACCCAGCGCTCTAAAGCTGAGCCCAGACACCCTACCAAGGAAGCTCATTTTGGCCGCAAYTCAATCATGATCCAAACCTCAGGACCAGAGGTGAGGGTTAGAACATAGACAAGTAAAAGGTCTTTTGACTAAACAGTTCTTCACCAGGACCAACTAAAGCAAACTTCTTATTGAAGAAGAGGTCTCAGTTACTTGAACTCCTCCACCAGAGGCAAAGAATTGTCCCCCAAAGTCACCAACAGAACCGTGTCGATTACATGAAACCAAGACCCTGAGGTTCCCAAACCAGACAAGCTCCTTTCCATGAGTGCACCTTGAGRTCTATGAACACCAGTCCTGGCAGAGTCCAAGAATGAGCTTGACTTTGGGCAAACAATGCAAACACAGGGACCAAATACAAGTAACCCTGGTACCTAATACTCACTCAGCACACTCTACAGAATGTCTTGAGGAATACCGTCATAAATCTTTAGGCCCATAAAACAAGACTGAAGAGTTAAACTAGCATCAACGAGAAGTGTAAAAACGTCAAAACCTGAAGTCCACCACTGATGCTCACCAAAATATGGTCTTCCTACAACCTATTTCTTCAAAATAAGACTAAGTTTTAAACTTTTTCACCTCACTCTATAATGCAGCTTTATGTGGTTAAAATACATTCTACATTGGGGTTTTTAAGAGCATTTTAGCCACCTTAAATACTAAAWGTTTCATGTAAACTGTTCACGTTTACTCACTCCTTTCTGATTAAACTTAAATAAGTGGAACCAGAAGAAGAAATTTCYAGTTGATTAACCTTTAGCCTGCATAATAACACTAAATGAATGCTAATTTATAAAGCCATTCAGCATAATGAGAAGCTCCCACGCAACACAAGCACTGAGTTTAGCTTGAAACTAAATGATCTCTTTTTCACCAGTGCAAATGCCTGTTTCAACAATAAGTAAAGCCTTTAACCATCACTTAAAACACAAAGCGTATTAGATTAGTCTGATCGAAACAGTAAAGAAATATTTGATCATTATAAATGAAGGTCAGAAAATAATCCATTCCGAACAAAAACACTCCACTGTGATTCCTTAAGCTTTTTGACTTTTGTATAAATTAAAAGCTGTGTTCAGTTTCAAACCTCTTAAAGCTATTTTTTTTTAGTCTTTCAAAGCAACAAGCAGCAGGGGAATTCTTCTGCAGCCCCCCAGTCCTCACCTTCGTTTCACGCTGGCCCATCCGACCTCTCCTCGGCCGGCGGATGACTTTGGCTGAGCGGTAATGGTCCGACTGGGTTTCAGCCAGAGAGCCCAGAGAGAATCGAAGCTCGCCCGACGTGTCCAGGTGAGACCTGAAAACACAAAGCTTTACCTGCTTTACTCGATTTTTGATTCGAAGCGGAATAAAACCGAACGGAGAATTGTCCGAGCGGCTAAGCGGGTTAGGGAAAAATGAGACGGCGAAATTATCAACCAATCAGAAGCCGCTTCACGCATACCTAACAGTCATGGTTGTGTGGTGTAACGAGCACACAAATTGTTATTTATACTTCCGTGCTTGTAAATAGTTTATGAATAATGAAACCGCTGCTATTAACACATGAGCAGAGATAGTTATAGTAGATGAATTAAAAAACCAAAATGCTTTTTAATCCTTTTTTGCTTTTAGTCTTGCATCACATTTCATAACGGTTTTATGCCAAAATAAATAAAAGTAACAATTCCCTACACTTTAAGACTGTCCCTAAGCTAGGAAAATCACCCATTTTTACCTTTTTGACTTTGATTATAGAGTCAAACACACAACCAACCTACCGTGAAAGAGTGGGTTCAGTGAGGGAGCCTGCCCTCAATCTGTACTGGTCGAGCTCCGATCTCAGTTTCTCAATCTCCTCTGCCAGCTGCGACTGGATAAAACAATTTGACAGCACAGTTAATAGGTTTGTCTGGGATATTATATGTTCTGGGAATGATTACATCAGTATATCATAGTGTGGCAGCTCGGAAAGCCCCAGGAAGGCTGGATCTTCACAAGTGGATTTTTTTTCATCTTTAATGCTGAGAATAAAAACTTACAGCAGAGGCTTATACATATTTAACAGGAGGTTTATAAAAAATGAAACTAATACTACAAACCATATTTTCTATAATAAAAAAATGCTTTTTTCCAGCGACTTGATGTAAAATTTAGCTTTAAAATGAAAGGACTAATCATCTCTCAATCTGTGCAACCTACTTTCTCTTGGAGCGACTCTTCGTACTGTTTCCTGTAGCCGTCCGAGTCTTGTATTAACATGTTCTGCAAAGAGAAGAAGAGTTCAGAGGATCCTCCAGACGTTCACTGAACAGGCTTATTGAGTTCTTAATTTCATGGCAACCTTCTCTTCTAGAGCTGCCATCCTCTCCTTCAGGTGGAGCTGCAGACGCTCGTTGGACTCAGTCAGGAGTCTGTCCACTGTGTCTGAGAGGCGCTTATTGTGCTCTTCATTCATCTTTTCTCTTTGTCGAGCCTGGAGGAAGGAAAGAGAAAACAAAAAAGCATGAAATGAACTAATTAAAAACAAGGCAGCAAACTCTATAAAAATGTTATCTTTATTAGAAGTATTAGTACACAGTACAGTCTAGCTTGGATTCCTCTTTACTTTACAGTAATTTTATGATTTTAAACTTAAACTGAGTTATTTTTGCTGTACGTTTTTCTTAAAACATAATACTGTCATTAGTTCTATATGAAACTTTCAATTATTATAGAAGAAAAAATATAAACAGAAGTTTAAGTTTTAGGAAAATTTACCAAAAAGAAAGTGATGCTGTCTGCTTTAGCTAATTCAAAAACTGCTTTTAAAACTTTTCATCTTTGATTCAAAACTTTCAAATTGATTTATTTTATTTTATTGTTACTACCTGGGTTCAAGCGCACATGTTGTGCCAAAAAATAAAAATAAAAATAAATAAATAAAAGATTACATTTACTCAATTACATCAATTTTCAAAAGCAACTTCCTTTCCTGTTTTCCAAGTCAACCAAGTATTCAGTTTTACAGCTCAAATTTACACGTCAAATCTTTTCAAGTTTTCTCCAAAGAACAACTTTAAATTATTTTACATTTAAGTGATTTAACGTTTTTTTCATTTCATACAATTTATTTTTCTCCCTCTAACATTTCATAGTATTAAATAATGCCCGTGACTCTGCATAATTCATTAATCATGGTTACCTCGGAGCAGTTGACTGCTCATCAAAAACATATTTAAAAAGGTCACCAAAATACAAAATGCTCTCTTTAAATTTTTACCGAAACAAACACAGAGTGTTGACCTTTAAAGTTAATCACCTGAGTTTTTGTTGAAATAAACAATCACAAATCAAACTAGAGGGTTTGTATTTCCTGAGTGTGAATGCTTAATGCTAAAAGATGTTTGATTAATAGATAAAAAGGCTGAAACTAGTCTAAAAGTAGCTTTAAAAAGTAGCTGAAATGGCTCAAATTATTACAAAGACACAGGAAAATCACATTTGTTGAAATTATCACAAAACTGAATTTATTGACAAAAATCAAATTAGCTAAAAAATAGCTAAAAGCACATTAAACAGCTGAAATGAGCACAAAACAGCTGAAAGTAGCATAAATAGCTTAAATAAGCAGAAAGAAACTGAAGGAAACACAAAAAGTTGAAATTAATAGAAGACAGCAAAAAAAGCAAAGAAAACCTAAAATCATCAAAATAAAAGCTGAAATTAGCACAAAAAAGTCAAAGAAAGCTGAACCAGAACTAAATGTAAGAAGTGAAGTAAAGATTTATGAACATTTGAAATGGTTTTAAGGATGATGAATTCATTCATTTTAAATGAAAAAAGTGGCTAAAAAAAGCTAAAAATCTCAAAAAGTATAAATTGCACAAATACCAAAAGTCGTAGTGGAAATGTCCTGAAGGAGCTAAATGTTTAATATTGTATTATTGAAATAGAACAACATTTGTGGAATGAGATATGTACCAAAAATGTATTTCTATATGTATTGATGTAAGAGGCACAATGTATCAAAATGTCATCAATGTAATATTGTGCACAGTATCAATGCCACAAGTGATCGTAAACACACTGACATCACGTCAATTATATAAAGTTTTTGAGACATGAAAAGACTCTCTTAACAAAATTGAAAATTTTACGTTTTTCAATCCAAACATTRGTTTACTGTTTACATTTTCTTTCTATGCTGGCTGAATTCTCATCATTGGTTTATGTTTTCCAAGTTTTATTTGCCTCCAAACACGAGGAACAAGAAGTCCTAACTTTTAAACATCCACAGCAAATTATGATGATGGAAGATAAACAGTGTGAAGATGCTTATATAATAGAAAACGAACAGAACATGACTCGTGAACCTTTTACAAACCATTCTATCAGCCGAGTGTGTGAACAGCTAATTTGGTCGAGCTTCAGTGATGATAAATCAGAAGAATGTGCCATCGGTTGTTGTCGCGTCAAACTGTCAGGCGCAGGCGAGCGCTGGCTGTTTGCTCAGCGTTGCCTGGCACGACTCCTCCGCAGTGACTCACCCTGAGCAGTTCCTGGTTTTTCTCCTCCAGCTGGCATTCCAAGTGCCTCATTCGCTCCTCAATGCTCCCGTGACGCTCTTCCGCCTACAGATGGGTTATGGCACAGACAGGACAAGAAAAAAAGCCACATTGATGCGCTTGTTTGACAGTCTAAGTGGCAACAGGAAAGCAGTACCAATGGCACAAGCAGAGCCTTCTACCCAAAAGATCTATTGTTTAAGACATAAATGAAAGAAACGCTAAGATAGATGGTCTCTAAAAGGACAGAATGATAGAGGAAGAAAGCTTCTCCAGCGTGGTAATGTATGAGCTCCAGCCAGAAGTGCCATGCAGCTGTCCTGAAGTGGTAGAACAGCCAGAGCAGAACCCCAGTAACCCAGTCAGACACATGTAAAATCTCTTCTCTACAAAATGTATCAGCCACTGCGATGCCCTGTGGGACTACCTTCCTAAGAATGGAGTTCATGTCTTGGAGTTTAGCTTCCATAACACAGTGATAATCATCAGGGGAGGAAGAGGAGCTGGAGTCAGACTATAGGGCCGAGGAAGAGGAGAGGGACATGTTGAAATGTCAGGGCATGACATCACGCGTGCACACACATACAGGAACATCTAGAGACAAGGGTGTGTGTAGGAATGTGGGTTAGTGTGTGTGTGTGACTACCTTGGTGAGGGSCGCTATCCTCTGGGCCAGTTCTGCTTCCACCTCAGGCAGAGTCTCAGCCTTCCTCATGGTCTGCTGGAGCTTCTGCTCCGCGAGCTCCAGCCTCTCCTGCAGCTGCCTGTTCTTCTCTTCCATCTGCACACAAACAGCACCGTCAGCCACTTCAATTTAACTCAGTGAAATAATTTATTTGAAATTTTTGCAATTTAAGCCTTGCAACAATGGACAGTCCATTTCAAGCAATTGTCTTTTGTTGTATGAATATAAAATAGGACAAACTTTAATGTCTCCATTTTCTGCTGCTTATCCATACTCGGGTTATGGATGCAACAGGTCCATGAGAGAAACATAGACATTACTTCCCAGATCATCCTGGGGAACCTTGAGGTATTCCCAGGCCAGAGAAGATAGATAACCACTCCAACGAGTCCTGAGTCTTCCTAGAGCTCCCTGCCAGTGGGATGTGCCTTGAACACCTCTAGAGGGAGGCGTCCTAATCCAATGCCCAAACTACCTCAGTGGGTTCCTTTCGATGCAGAGCTCCCCATGGATGACAGAGCTCCTTTTCCTATCTCTAAGACTGAGCCCCCACCCTACAAAGGAAGCTCATTTCAGCCACTTGTATCCGGGATCTCGCTCTTTCAATCATGATRCACACCTCATAATCATTGGTGAGGGTTGGAATGTAGACAGATCAGTAAATCGAGAGCTTTGCCTTTCAACTCAGGTCTTTCTTTACCACAATTGACCGAAACAACGCCCTTATTACAGAGACTGTTGAATTATCTCAAGGGGCAGGCTTGCTTTCTAATTACTGAGAGAGTTCAGCTGGTGTCTTGGCTTTCCATGCCTTTTTACACCTCCCTTTCTTCATGTGTTCAATACTTTTTCCRTGTGCCATTCCACATTATTACAAARAACTTCATTTCTGGAKATTTATGGTTTGATTTCTTTGTATGTATGGATCACTTGGGTTGTTACCGACAACTGGTGGAAATTTCATATCATTAGCACCTCTAGTAATATATTTACTGAGAAAAATGGTGACGTGTTCAATACTTATTTTACCCGCTGTAAGCTCCTCCACTAGAGGCAAAGACTACCTGCCCCTTGATCCAGAGGGGGTATTCCACCATCTTCTTGTTGAGAACCATGGGCTCAGACTTAGAGGAACTGACTTTCAGCCGGGCTAAAAACCTTCCCAGTAGACGCTGAAGGTCTTGGTCCAAAGACGCCAACAGAACCACATCACCCGCATAAAGCAGAAACAAGACTTTGTGGTTCTCAAACCAGACACCCCCCTCTCCGTGACTGCGCCTTGAGATCCTGTCCACAAGCACTACAAACAGAATCTGAGACAAGGGGCAGCCCTGGCGGAGTCCAACCCGAACTGAGAACGAGCTTCACTTTGTGCCAAGAATACAGACACAGCTCTCGCTTTGGTTCTACAGGGACGGGATCGCTCTTAGTCGGAACCCAGACACCCCATACTCCCACAGCTATTCCTACAAAATGCCTCAAGGAACACAGTTATAAGCCTTCTTCAAGTCCATAAACACCGGAAACACAAACTCCCATGACCCCCTTAACAACTCTGCAAGGATAAAATCTAGTCCACCCTTCCATAACCAGTACATAAGCCACACTCTTGAATCTGATGTTCAACAATGAGCGTTTTAACTTCATTTCTTTTTATTTTAACAGTAACTTGCAAATGACACCAGTTTTCTGTGCAGTGAAACATTTAGAAAACTCGCTTCATCCGTTCCAACAAAAAGCAGAATACTTTAGAAAAACATCCTCTTTAAATCCCTACATAGTCTCTCTTTTCTCTTTAATGTCAGTGTATTATTGGTTGTTAGAAAAAAAATACCAGATATTCATCTCTTGTTGGAGCGCTAGCTGCTGAGGGATCTGGCAGAATGCCTCAACTCCTCTTCAAAACAGCACTAGAATGAAGCCAGAATAGCAGCAGCTCCACATGAGCCAACAGTGACAATAGCAACTACTCAGCAGATAACAAATATCTGCCATGATTAGGCATTTGGAAAAACCACTTTGCATCATTAAGGCACAAGTCAAACTATATATTCACTTAAACTGCTGTTGTGTCTTAAGGCTTATTCTGTTTTGTTTTTTTGTTTTTTTTTTAGCTCTGATCAGTTTTAAGACTTGTTCTTTTGGGAGCGGCTTGGCTGTCATTGCTTTTAGTACCAAATGCTCTGATCCCATAAGCATCAAGCCTGACAGTTCAGTTTACACAGTTCAAACTTTAGTGGGCTGCAGCTATGTTTTTATCTGTGTCAGTAATACTTTCTGTCTGAAGTCACATTGTGATCCCAGTGGTGTCTGAGATGACACTGGGGAAACATGTTAGTTTTTCGTGTGTGATTTCCTCCCTAGACGCCCCTCTGCCCATATTTTTAGACATTTTGCTCGCCATTTCGTCTTGCGCCTTCATCTTTCTGTACCTCTTGCCAAGTTTTTGTTCCCTGAGCACCTCATCTTCAAACATCAGTGGGCATCCTGAAGTTCAGCTGCTGGCAAGATGACAAGTAAACTCATGGCACAGTCTGTGAAGTGTGTGTGTGTGTGTGTGTGTGTGTGTGTG